ACGTATTCAAAAAATTAGCAAAAAAAAAAGTTTCAAATATCTGGGAAAAAAACCAGACTGGATTGCAAGCCAATCACCAGAGCTTGACACAATGGTTCTCAACCCTTTTTTGCCAACGGCACACCTTGGAACACATGAAAAAATAACGGCACACCTGGCTAAATATATGTGAAAAATATTTGAATTTTGCAAATTAAAACATGGCAAGTCACAGACAGCATACAAGTCATAGACACAGACTAGTCATAGACAAATAGAATGACTCAAATAAAAAAAAACCCCACAGCTATGAACTTACCAGTGAATACTCATTTGGGATCATGTGGTTTTTCCCATTTTCTTAGTGTGTCGTTCAAATTTTCGCGGTTCACTTTCGAAGATCTCGCGGCATACCTGTGTGTCGCGGCACACTGGTTGGGAATCACTGGCTTAACAACATCCCCACTATTATTAGGTTATTGCCCCCAATTGTGCACGTATCCATGGCGAAATACAACTCTTTTCACAAAATTAGCAAAAAAAAGTTTCAAATATCTGGGGAAAACCCAGACTGGATTCCAAGCCAATCACAAGAGCGTGACAACATCCCCACCATTATTTAGGTTATTCCCGCAAATTATGCACGTATCCATGGCGAAATAAGACTCTTTTCACAAAATTAGCAAAAGAAAGTTTCAAATATCTGGGGAAACCCCAGACTGGATTCCAAGCCAATCACCAGATTGGATTCCTGTCCAATCAGTCAGTGTCACAAAAACAAACTAGGTCACAGCCCGCTTATTCTGAGTTCTCTAAGACATCAGAACTCACGTCAAACCAGCTTATTCAGTATCAAAGCAGTGTTTTGACGTCAAAATAACGGCAGTGTGACGTCATGACGTCAGGACGTCACACCATGACCTGCTGGCGTTGTGATAATTTTATTTTCCGATTCGTTGATATCACTTTTGTATCTAATGATATTACATTTATTGCTCTAAAACGAGCCGTTTCCAAGATATTGAGGTCAGAAAGTCAAATTGGCGGCCATCTTGGATTTATGCTAATTATGAAAAACGCTACAGGGTTTCAGCGGACAATTTTGAGTTGGGAGTCCTTTAGACATCCCTTTACTAGATTCCAGTAAAAGAAATTCTTTTGCAATTTGTTCTCGGTAGTTTTTTATTTCTCTCCGTCTATATATTGAAATCTATATGTCAATTGTCGTCACCCTCAACACGTCCATCGTCTACATGTCTATTGTTGTCACCTTCAACCCATCCATCTTCTATGTCTATTGTTGTCACCCTCAATCCATCCATCCATCGTCTCTCTCTCTCCCTCTCTCTCTATTGCTGTCCCCCCTCAACCCATCCATCGTGTTTAAACTTTAAAGCTATGAAGACAAAAATTTATTTACATCTGTTACTGCCAAAAGCGGGAAGGGGGGGGAGTGCTGGTTAAACGTGATAAGGTCTGCTATTGTGTCAAGTGGTGTGATTCCTATCCGACCCCCCAATTGTTTTTCTGTGGGGGTGGGGCTGAATATACTTGGACTCCCCCCCCCCCCCACCCCAAATTTACATAGTAGGCCCTATTTATTTACAACAATTATTAGGATTAGTTAAGATTCTATCTGCATAAAACCCATACATATCCCAATATATTGGTGTGATGTTTTTGTTTAACCTCGTAAAATATGCCAAAACAGTGTTTACAGGCCCACACTTGTATATGTATGTGACAAGGAGTAAGGAAGTCTGTTCATCCTTTTGGGTTGTTACCGGTTTCCTCCCACAGCTCAAAGCCTCTATGTGCAAGCAAATTATTGAAATAAAATTGAACCATATATTAGTCCCGAAATGACCTAGTTTGTGTCAAGTGGACTTAAAAACCTCTCTTTACTGTAGAGTCTGATCACTTTAAGAAATCTTATGGATGCTCTATTAATTAAGTGACTCTTGATTTGCACTTTGTATAATAATCATTAATACTAGGAAGAACTTGTGGACGACACAAGAAAACAACATCTAGTTGTTTGGATGGTGTGAAAACCCTTAAGACCAATTGTGCATGTTAAAGAACCCTTGAAAGTTAGAATTTGATGAAGAGTAGACACAAACGCAGCTCTCAGGGCAAATTTCCTTCCATGGCGTACTGAATGGCTATATATACATTAGCCTAGACGGATGTTAAACCCCATTTTCATTTCCGGTATTAAATTATTTTACATAATAAAGATATTTTACTGTGTTTATATTACATAATCAAGATATTTTACTGTGTTTTTCAGGTGAAAGAAAAAGTCCATATGTAGCTGTTTGTTGTATTTCCATGGCACTGAGTATTTTATTCTGGTCCTGATCCTGTATTTAATATATTAAATCAATGGACTAGTCCTATGTATAAAAGTAAACTAAACCTGATGATTTTATGACTGAGATGTGTTCAACATGGTGGAAGATGTCTGTTTATTTATGGACAGGGTACTCTATTTGTAAAAACATTTTTAGGACTTGATGTATTGATGTAAACAAATGAAGAATGAAATTCATAGAATGAATTACGTAACTCAATTCATCAAATCTTATTTATGGTGTATCGTTACATCTGGGACTGCCCCTTTAAAATTCATGGCCCCTCCATTTTCTACCGATTCAGTAACAGTTGCCAAAGAATTCTAACATTTTCTAATCTTATTCAAATTACATTTTTATTTTTGTTCCAATTTGGACTACTTCCGTATCCATTTCCTGTTCTGCTTGAAGCCCAGCTTTTAAATGTCATTGTTATTGGTTAATTACATTTTTGCTCAAGACATAACAGCTCCTGATTGGCTAGACAAGACATAACAGCTCCTGATTGGCTAGACAAGACATATTCTAATAACTACCTTGATCTGGTAGTTTTTGCAATAATAATTCAAAATTAGATAATGAAAAAAGAATATAGTAGATTTCAGTCAACTTGATTTATTCTAAGTTATGAGTGTTTGAAGTTTTGACAAGATAATCATGCTACCATAATAATTGTTAATATGTCAGCTATTCATTACATTATTGTATGTATAGGACCTGCTATATATATATATATATATTTGTACAAACCTAGAAATAAACAACCTATGAACCAATAGGCTACGGAGTACCTGTATATAGAAATATATATACCAGTAGGCTACTGGGTACCTGTATTATATATCTACTGAGTACCTGTATATATCTACTGTGTACCTGTATATATCTACTGTGTACCTGTAGATATCTACTGTTTACCTGCCATTTTGAACTAATATAATGTATAGATATATATAATGAAACAGCTGGGTCAGACAAAATGGTCCAAAGTCTGAATTTATTCCTGGCATTGTCTGTGACTGGTTCCTTATTTTCAGACTTGGTGTATGAATTTTCATTGTACATAATATAATATACACATAAATTGTCTCATATACATATTAATAAATTGAAATACCTATTGATTGTCAACAATTTCCAATAATTACTGACAGAGTTATGGCCCTTGATCATTTTGAAAAATCTTGTGGGCGCTGTAGAGGCTAAAGTTAATACTCGATTGACTTTAAATTTATACACGGCGTTTAAGGCCATGAGATGAAGATGTCTATTGATTTTCAACAAGTTTAAATAATTACTGGGTGGGGGGGTCACGTTGGCTAAGTGGGTAAGATGCTGGGGGTGGGGGGTCATGTTGGCTAAGTGGGTAAGATGCTAGCCTTGAGGTTGGATGTTCGAGCGTGCACGTAAAAGATCCCTTGACAGTTGGAATGTAATATAAGAGTAGGCTGTAGTGCTGTCCGGGCAAAATTTACTTTAGCACACTGTATGGCACATACCTGTCTTCATTAGCCCAGTTTGAAGCAGAACAGTAGGATGTTAAAACCCATTTCGTTTCATTTCAATAATTACTGCCAGAGTTATGGCCCTTGATCAGTTTGAAAAACCTTGTGGACACGCTAGTCCTTAGGACTTTAAATTTATACTTGGGAAGATTATACGGCTCAGTATTTCCCTCTCGCTAAAACTCCTTGTGCTACCTATTTAATATTTTAACTTGATAGATACAGCAACAGTAATGTTAACAAGCACTCATTACCCGTGGTGGGGCGACAGACTGTACAAATGTTCTGTCAACTCTCACAAAACAGGCGGAATTAACATGCAGGCCTCAAGATTCTGTCCCATTTCTTATCCTCACAAATGCCAGGAAATTTAGGCCCAATGCCTACAATTGGGGGAAAATGTGATTATGTTGACATAAATGAGGATCATGTTATATATTAATAAAACATAAATTTCTTGGACTGTCCATCTCTAAATAAGTGTATATGATGCCCCTGGACAACTGTTTTGATTTGTGGCGATGTGGGTGGGGGGTAGCAGGTGTGCGTGTGTGGAGGCGGCGAGCGGGGGGGGGGGGTAAAATTGGCAGGAAATGAGTTCACGTGGATTTAAATGATGATTTTCTTAGAGCTTGGTAAAAACATGTAATTTGGGGGACCCACTACGGTCTAGATCCGCTACAGCTACAGTTAACTACGTCTAATTACTTTTAATACATTTAACTACGGTCAACTACAGTACGGTCAACTACAGTACGGTCATCCCCCACTATGGTCAACTACAGTACCATCAACCCCCACTATGGTCAACTATATTTACGGTCATCTACAGTATATGGTCAACCACTGTACGGTCATCCCCCAATACTGTCACCTACAGTACGGTCATCCCACACTATGGTCAACTACACAGTACGGTCATCCCCCACTACGGTCACTTTTAACGTATACTGACTTGATTCATCAGTTCATTTAACACGTGACTAAATATATCCAACACGTGACCTGTTCATAATATTCTAAATATAGATCTAGCGTGAAAGGAAAGTAAAAGTAGAATTTCTGAGAAACTGTAGGATGTTTATTGACCTTGACATCAATCCAATACGATAATAAAAGTTGAATTTCTGAGAAATTGTAGCAAGTTTACTTATGTTGACCGTGACACCATGCCGTATAAATTTACATTGATGTTGATTGAAACAAAACGTGAAATATCACTGACCGTGGAAGTAGAAATATCTCAAATACCCCTTGTATACAGTCTAATACCACATGTATATCTCACTTGTATACAGTTTGTTTACGTATAAACTGTTACGTAGTTTAATATCACGTGATTGATGACCTCGGGTTCAAGGCAGGATAAAGTGTTCGAGGTGACTCGTGACGTCCATGTTGACTAGAGAGAAGAAGTTGTTGTATTGTTGTGTCAGTGATCTAGTAGACTAGTTACCTGTAAGACTGTAAACTATACAGTTCTAATAGTTTTGATTTTTATACCGTGTTTTATATTGGACTAACTGATTCATTCTGTATTTTATACAACCCGTGGAACAGTAAGACTGTAAACTACACTGTCGTATGTTATATCTGACTACTGATTGATTCTGTAGTTTTATCCTGTTTCAACTCGTATTGTATTCAACATGGCTAAACAGACAGATAAAGACGTGTGCATGATTTGTTTACATGATTTTGAAACACCGGTTTTGATAGATTGTCAACATACTTTTTGTTTCATCTGTTTAGAAGATTATGTGAACAAAACCTCTACTAAAGACCAGTTCCAATGTCCATTATGTCGGTGTCTTATAGACGGGGGTATACAGCGTTTTAAACCTAAACTAAACATTGATGACAATTCTACTATTCCACAATGTGATGTATGTACTAAAGATACATGTCAATATTTTTGTCGAGACTGTGATCAATATTTATGTAAATCATGTAAAACCATGCATGATAAGTTAAAATCTTGTAAAGACCATGTTGTTTGTCGATATGATGAAAAACAAGTCTGTCAACAATCAAACGAACCAATGAAGGAAAAGACAACAGCCACTTCCGTCACACATCCGAAAGATTTCTGTCCAAACCATGAAGGAAAGAAAGTAAAAATTTACTGTAAAGATTGTTCACTAGCCGTGTGCTTGAATTGTCTCGTGACCGATCATAACGGACATAATTTGTTAGATTTACAGAAGGATGAAGTCAGACAAAATATCAGACAAGACCTAAAAACTCTGAATGACGATTTAGAAAAACAAATTACCAATTTTCAGAAACATTATGATAATTTGAATAGTAAATTGATTGAAGTAAACAACTGTACAAAATCAGAGTGTGACAAAGTAGATGCACAGGTGGATAAAATCTGCTCAGAATTCCGTAAACTTGGAGAAAATATTAAAAAGGAAATGCAGAAAACTAGTGAACAAGAAGAATCCAAATTTGGGAAATTAATGGAGGACATTAAAAGACTAACCGAAGATTTAAAAGCTAGTGTTAAATATTCAGTGAATGTTTTAGAAGATTCGTCTGTTGTTCAAGTTCTACAAAGATTACCTAAAGTTAGACAGGAGAAAGATGAAAGTTGTTGTAGAAAATTGGATATACCTGATGTAAGATATTCAACATTTCAAGTAGCAGAGATAGATAAAACTTTGTTAACTAATCAACTTGGTAAAATTGTAAGTTGTCATCAGAATATGATTGAAGATGCTTTTAATGTGGATACTGTGCAAGGTTGTGGGTGTTATGGTAAACAACATGTAGTTTCAGGTTTTACATGGAATATCTCTGTGTACTCATCATCATTAGATGTTGTATTATACCTGGATGACGTAGAAGATAAAAGTATTACGTCATGTAATGTTGACGTCACATATAAAGTTATAAATAAAACAGATGATAGACAATCTGTAGTTAAACAATGTAATAAGACTGTTAAACCTGGTGGACGTGTTTTATACTATGATACTGATCTTATTGACTGGGATAGACTCAGTAATCCTGTCAGTGGATTTATTGATGATCATAGAAACTTTACAATTCAAGTTACAATTAATAAAATAACTAACATTGTACGAGATTAATAATTAGGTTACTGTTATTCTGATTAAAACTATTAACTTATGACCAATGTTCCTTTACAATTAAAGTAATAAATAATAATTGAACTTCTATCTGAATTATGTTTAGATAATCTACTCATTATCATGCAAGGGAGATAACCTGTTTTCTCGCGGACTCCGCAATATTCAATGCTATTAGTTGACCCAAATGTTTTCAATATATATTGATGACTCATGTAACCAAAGCTAGAAAATAAATTCAATTTTAAAATCGATTCGGCCTCTATCGCTCACCCTTTAATGCAAGGGAAAAGTTCGGGAAAAAACTCTACCCACGTGCAACACTGAGAAAATGGGGTCAAGTGACTGTACTCATGAGTATCGATATAAATTCCGGTTTGTCCACAGTTAATACTTATTCTGATAAATACTACATGAACGTAACGTATTAAACACCAAAAACACTTCAATGTATGCCAGGCGTGTGGGGGTTTTGACCTGTATAACACCCATGACGTCATAGTTTGGGGCCTAAAAATGGCGGTTGAAAGTGTAAATGACGTTTCGTGAATAAATATTCCTGGTAGTGTTTCGTTTGATGGAACCACAAATTATGATTGGTCAATACTGGGACCAACGACCAGTACAATTTGTGTCCCAAATTATGATTGGTCAATACTGGGACCAACAACCAGTACAATTTGTGTCCCAAATTATGATTGGTCAATACTGGGACCAACAACCAGTACAATTTCTGTCCGACATTATGATTGGTTAATACTGGGACCAACAACCAGTACAATTTGTGTCCCAAATTATGATTGGTTAATACTGGGACCAACAACCAGTACAATTTCTGTCCCAAATTATGATTGGTCAATACTGGGACCAACAACCAGTACAGTAAAAAAAAATCAATCGGGATTCTCCAGGGAATAGAAACCACACCAATTGACTCAATGACAGATCTTCACGTGCACGTGTTAAACCACAGGACCACCCAACCCTGACCCTACAATTTATTATAATGGAGTCAATATTTCTTCATTATTCAAGTTACACACGGCTGAAAAGTTTGTTTATTTGGTTGTAATTTGGTCTATTTGAAGACAAACAAAATGAAATGAAATTGGGTTTAACGTCCTACAGTTCTGCTCCGAACTGGGCTAATGAAGACGGGCATACACCATACAGTGTGCTATGAGGGAAATTTTGCCCGGGCAGCGGCGCTACGGCATACTCTTATATCGAATTCCAACTGTCAAGGGATCTTTTATGTGCACGCCAATGTGTACACGGGATATCATTTTTTCGTCCAATCCAAACTACTTGACAACTATCCTTGTCAGGCCCTCTGGCTTGCATCAGTGACATGGGGGAACCACGCCGGAAAATATGGAAGAACTTTCTCGGCCAATGCTGGGATCGAACACCCTACCTCCAGGCTAGCGAGCCAGTGTCTTACCCACTTAGCCACCGTGATTCCCAATTGAAGACAAACACATAAAATGGTAATGCTGATGTCAACCGCCGTGATCCCACTGGTTTATAGCTCACACAATCAACTTGGCAAAACATGAACAGAAACTGATCATCATCGAACTTAGTCAAGGTATGGATTTAATAGAACTATTAATCAAGTCTCCACACCATTATCAAACTTAGTCAAGGTATGGATATAATTGAACTAATTATACTCCAGCAGGTATAAAATTAATTATCTCTACTTAGCCTAAGCAGAAACAACTAATCACAAACATTCACCTAATAAACAACAACAAGTTGGGACATTCAACATGGCGTCTTAGATACAAACAAACAAACATGTTAATACAATATATTCTATTATATTAGCAGTAGTATATTCATGTGATATATACAATATTAGGTTATGTTTAATACACAACATTATGCCTGTATTATATACAAATTATACAATTAATACACAACATTATGTCTGAATCGTAAACAATGGCTACCTCCTATTATTACAGTTGTTCTCTCAAATTTCAGTATCAAGCACATTAGAAACTGATTGAAATGTCTGATAAATAAACCAGATACAAACAGTTATGTACTATTCTGTCTGATAAATAAGTCTACAAAACACTGAACAAATCTTCAGGATCTATATTAGATACATTAGAATTATTAGAACTACTTTTACTCATCCGACCTCGACTACCATCATAGCTAAAAATATAAAATAAAATATATAAATTATATGAATGATATGAATGATTGACATTAAATAATATAAAATGGGGTTTAACGTCCTACTGTTCTGCTCCGACAGGGCTAATGTAGATTGTAGCACAAATTAGAAATTTGCTCGATTCTGATTGTTCGAAAAGTGTAGTTGGGTGGTCTAGTACAACCAGGGAATCGAAACCACGCCAGTTGACTCAATGACAGACCTTATGTTACAACATGCAAATGCGAACCATTATAAATTACCCCTCATTGGATGTATTTCTAGTTATTTTAGATAAATTATGTTTATAACAGTAATTACCTCTCATTGGACGTATTTCTAGTTATTTTAGGTAAAATAGGTTTACTTGGTGTCGCTGTTCTTACACTTCCTCTCTTTCTAGCTGACCTTAAAAATACAACATAATAACCATAATATTCACATATAGTTACCATAACAACCATCTGACTCAACACTGAAACCCTAGTGTATGAGTAATCTATCTGTTTAGTTAAACCCTACTGTGTATAAATTCTACCTTTTAACTATCGTAGAAGATGATGATGTAATCTCGTCATCCCCTAAATCTAACGATGAATCTAGATCACCAGTTTTACGGCCTACATTCTTTCTCTGACGTTTAGGTGGTGGCGTCTAAAATAAATAAATAATATCACTTTATATAGTACTTTGAATAGGTTTTCATCATTCAATAAATATTGATTATTGATATCATGTAATATTCAAAAATAAACAGAATACTGAAAGGGAAGTAACTCTATTAGTAAGTGCAGGAGGACCGCACTACACGCAAAACAAAAATCTACAAGATAAACCTGCAGACAAGACAGAAAATAGACATTGCACCAAATAAGCAAACATCAAATCCAGTGAATGATTTTATATAACCTACCTCTTCCTCATCTGTATTTTCTTCTTTATCGCTAGAAAATAAAAACAATGGTGATCAAACACAGACTCTACAAAATCTAAATTTTATCAAATATGTAGCCAGGTACATGTAATGGCCAGGTGTTCAATAATTAAGGTTTATTTACCTTTCTTCTTTATTTGTTTCAACCTGTTGTTCTCTGTTTTGTCTTCCATTTCGGTCAGGTGTTCAATAATTAAGGTTTATTTACCTTTCTTCTTTATTTGTTTCAACCCGTTCTTCTCTGTTTTGTCTACCATTTCGAGTAGAATTCGACTGTGACACTGTAAAATGTAAAATATAATCTTATCATCTTCATTTCTATTTTTATATTTTTTAAACCAATGTGTTTATACATGTCTCATACATGTTTTGTTTGCTATGTCTGTGTTCTGCTGTGCAGTTTTCCTGAACAGCCTATTAAAAGCAGACGAAACAAATCAGAATACTTTCAAAAGAATATTTTTTTTTCTGGTAATGTTAATACCAGACTGGCTAATGCAGTTGGCAGGTCATACGACCACTGGTTAATACCAGTTATCATGCTATTGTTCACAATTGATACCGGACTGGCTGTCCTACAGTTATATCATGCTATTGTTCACAATTGATACCAGACTGGCTGTCCTACAGTTATATCATGCTATTGTTCACAATTGATACCAGACTGGCTGTCCTACAGTTATATCATGCTATTGTTCACAATTGATACCAGACTGGCTGTCCTACAGTTATATCATGCTATTGTTCACAATTGATATTATTTTTCCTTTTGTACCAAAGAACCAGACAAATCTACCCTTGGGCACCTCAACCCTTTTTACCTTGTTAAAGATTTTAGTACTATAGACCAAACACAAAAATTATTTTTCTAAGATACTGCTACATCATTTAAAGAGAGCCTACCACCTGTTTTAATTTTAAATAAAGAACAATACAAATGGTCTCATTAATTATCGCATCAAATTGTTTTCTCCGGGTAAACTTGAATGGAAATGCATAAACATTGTAGGCTCAATTACCAAGTAAGCATCCCTGATAAATGTTATTGACAATAATACTGGATAATCATACATTTAACAACATGTATCAGATATTTAGGAAGGAATATATTGTTTTTGTATGACCTGATGATCAAGGGTGAAATAAACAGTATAAAGGGTGAGTTTTAGGTCACTAGGTCTGTTATTAAGTCAAGAGACATGAATCCCATATGTTAGTCTCAATATGATCAAGTCAGGGTGTACTTTAGATCACTAGGCCTGTTATTAAGTCAAGAGGCATGAATAATCTCAGGGTTTTTCTGCAGGTCCTTTGGTTTCCTCCTGTTGTTAAACAAACAGGTGAATTATTAACATGAGAGCACCATATGTTAGTCTCAACATGATCTAGTCAGTGTTAAGTTGATGTTAGTCTCAACATGACTTAGTCAGTGTTAAGTTGATGTTAGTCTCAACATGACCTAGTCAGTGTTAAGTTGATGTTAGTCTCAACATGACCTTATACATGAGCAAGTTTCCAAAAGAATAAGAAATACAGATTTTAATTCCTTCATTTATACCCTCAGAAATAAAATGGGGTTTAACATCCTACTTTAACAGGAGACCTCCAGGTAAACGAGCCAACGTTTCACCCACTGAGCCACCGTGGCTCCCCATGTATATGCTGGGTGTGAAATAAAGATTTAGTCATCATAAATAAAACGGAATAAGTGTTACCTGATGTTCCATCATCTTTCTCATTATCATCACCTGTAATAACACATCAAATATAGCACGAGTTAGTGAGCGCTTGATGTATATGTTGATAAACTTGATCGTGCAACAGTTTCTGACTTAAAAACCACGGAAAAAAACTAGGGCAGTGGATAATCCAATAATTTATTGGGCTTCGATATTTGTAATAAACAGTCAGCGATTAAAGACAGCATCGTCTTGTATATGCAATGAATTCTCCTCCGGCTTCGCACCTGTTGCTAGGTACCGAGACAGCTAAGTCACTTGACACAACAATGACCTCTTTTGATCAATTTTTTATAGCAGGGGTATTCCCTGACAATTACAATGTTTTGAGAAGGATTTGAAGCAAAATTATAATAAATTAATTGATTTGAATATGTTTTTAAAAGTAATATAAAAATATTTTTTAACTGAAAATAATTATATGTAATATAAAAATCATTCATATTTGAGTCAAACTCATAAATCTAATAACAACTTGAGTCATATTAAAATATTCCCTGTAAACAAATTATTATACCATATGTTAATTGTGAAATGATCTTGTTAGTTTCAAGTGGATGTTAAACCCTAAAGTCTCTCTTACCTGAACCATGTAGATGATAATAATTAACCGGGAGATCCTGACTTTGATCTTGGTGTTTGTCGAGAAGGTTTCTTGAGATTTTCCAGGATGCTTTCCTCATGTCACTGGTTCAGTAAGGAAAAGGATGAAAACTGGTGGTCCATTGAGTACGAGATGGTGTCCACATTAAAGAAGATCCAACAACTCGAACTTGATCAAGAGTAGGCAGAAACTACACTGTCCTGTAAAAATTACCATCACTAGAAGGCTTGATTTTGCTTTAACTCTGTAATCTTATCAAGTCTTTCACGTAATACCCTGCATATTTCATCATTAATTGTAGGTCGCCATGTCTGATTTGAGTGTTTATGTGTCCCGACCTCCGATTGCACAACGCTACTGTTCATGTGTGTGCAGTAAAGGGAGATAATGGCTAGATGTTGTAAAACTTGCAGTCATTGCTTCAGGAACATGGTGCTGTCCAGTCAAAATTTCTGTCCATTAAACCAATTTTCCTCCTTCAATAACCCGTGGTACAGGAACGTTAGACAGTAAACCATTTTTAGTTTTATTCTAACCCTAACCCTCAATAACCCGTGGTACAGGAACGTTGGACGGTAAACCTTATTTAGTTTTATTCTAACCCTAACCCTCAATAACACGTGGTACAGGAACGTTAGACGGTAAACCATTTTTAGTTTTATTCTAACCCTAACCCTCAATAACACGTGGTACAGGAATGTTAGACAGTAAACCTTATTTAGTTTTATTTAATAAAATATTTAAAACTAAAATTAAGAATCAGATTTTCTTATTGTGTCTTTTATTACACAAATACAAATGATAAATCATTCATACTTGGATGACATGTTATTTACCTTTGAAAATAAATCTTTTTCCATTTCTTCTTTTGCAGCAATATATTTTTCTAGCCTCTATAAAAGAAAAGTTGAAATTGGAAACAAACCTACAGAGCTGTTATTTTTTGACCTTGGGAAGAATTGTCATATGGTTAAAAAATATTTCAATAATTCACTTGCACGTAAGTGTCTTTAATAGAGGGAGGAAACCAGAGGTCTCAGGGAAAACCAACGAGGTTGACAGGCAACTCTACACCTTAACGTGAAAATATTTAAAAATTACTGATTCACGAAACATGTCTAAAAACATGTAGAATGGACTAAACAGGCCCAAACGACTGCCATTCAATTTGGACTATTCAAGTATTTCACCAAACATAAATGATTAGAAATTTCAAAATAATTTTTTTCAATTTTCACTCATCCTAGGTATCCTCAGTGGTATCATTCCGTTCTACTCCACCATACCCAGGGTTCATTCACGGGGGAGACACAGTCAGTATCATCAATGGTATCATTCCGTTCTACTCCACCATACCCTGGGTTCATTCACGGGGGAGACAGTCAGTATCATCAGTGGTATCATTCCGTTCTACTCCAGCATACTCTGGGTTCATTCACGGGGGAGACACGGTCAAATTATCTGCCCTTGATACTTGTGCTATTTTTATCGACCAATCGAGTGGGTGAAGGGAATGTAAATCTTTTAGAGAGCTATCTTCTGGGTAGAAAACAGTGTATTTTAGTTAATTGCAAATCGTCGTCTGAATCTGTTTTGTCATCTGGGGTTCCCCAAGGTTCTGTTCTTGGTCCGATTTTATTTACCCTCTATACGTCACCATTAGGAGATATTGTCAGAAAATATGGTCTCAGCCTTCATTTGTATTTGATGATACTCAATTATATATTTCATTTACACCTAATTGTCCATCTTCTTTCAATTTATCAAAATTGCAACTTGAGAACTGTATTAGTGAAATTAGAAAATGGATGTCAAAGAACTTTCTAAAATTGAATGATGATAAAACCGAATATTTGTTATTAGGCTCAAGGCATCAATTAAGTAAATCTGCACAAGATAACCCCCCTGTTGTAATTGGTAATTGTGATATATTTTCATCTTATTCTGCTCGTAATATTGGCCCTATCTTTGATAGTTTTATGCTTATGGGAGCTCAAGTAAATAATATTTGTAAATTGTGCTATTTTAATATTAGAAATATAGGTAAAATACGTAAATGTGTAACTGTAGAGGCCACTAAGTCAGTTGTTAATTCTCTGGTCACTTCTCGATTAGATAACTTTAATTCACTTTTAGTTGGTTTACCTTTAAAGCTTATAGATAAATTACAAAAAGTACAGAATACTGCGGCTAGACTTGTTACTTTAACTAAGAAATGTGACCACATAACTCCTGTTTTATATAATTTACACTGGTTACCTGTTAAATATCGAATTGATTTTAAGATTTTATTACTTACTTTTAAATGTTTAAATAATTTAGCTCCTGTTTACCTCTCAGATCTTTTAGAACTTTATACACCTGGCTGAACATTACGTACATCAGATAAACTACTTTTAAAGCCCAAAACTGTTCAACTAGTCTCCTATGGTCAGCGCTCTTTTAGTTATCAAGCACCTGTTTTATGGAATAATCTACCATTTAGTTTAAGATGTTTTACATCTCTGTATTCTTTTAAAAAACAACTTAAAACACATTTATTTAATCAGGCTTTTAACTGACTCTGTATACAATCGTTAACATGCCCATAATCTTGTTGTTTATGTGTGATTTACATTGTCACTTTGTAAAGTGCCCCTGAACATGTTATATGAAAGGGTGCACTATAAATATGCTGTAATAATAATAATAATAATAAACAATGACGCTATGACTCGTATGTAAACTGTTTTTTGATTGGTTCAGAGTATAATGAAGTAGAATGAAACCCAGGGTATTGTGTGGAGTAGAATGGAGGGTATTGTGTGGAGTAGATATCACTGGGGATACAGAAGATGATTTTCACTATACGTACACACATATTACATTAATATCTGCTTTTTGGAACCGGGGGATCACGTGGCTAAATGGGTAAGACGCTGGCTCGCTAGTCTGGAGGTCGGGTGTTCAATCCCTGCATTGGCCGAGAAAGTTTATCCAGATTTTCCAGCGGGGTTCCCCCTTGTCAATGATGCAGGACGGAGGGCCTGACAAGGACAGCTGTCTAGTCCTTCAGATGAGACGAAAAACCGAGGTCCCGTGTATATATTGGAATGCACGTAAAAGATCCTCTGGCAGTTGGAATTCGATATAAGAGTAGGTGATAGTGCCGCTGCCCGGGCAAAATTTCCCTCATAGCACACTGTATGGCGTATGCCCGTCTTCATTAGCCCAGTATAGGAGCAGAACAGTAGGACATTAAACCCCATTTCATTTCATTTCATTTCTGCTTTTAGAACCATTTTCAACTATTTTAAGCTTCCAAAGAATAGTCGAGCCATACACACTTTAAACAAATAGATTATTATTATCTTATGAGGTGGGAAAATATTACAGCCATCACTTTGAGACAATATTACCCAAAGGCTTCACAATTAACGGCTTGGAACAGTTGCTCATGCTTGGTGAGGGTTCGCACTGCTCTTGTATATATATATATATATATATATTTATTTATGTTGATACATGCCTGATAACGACTTGTGAAATCTTGTTGAAACGTCACAGTGAAATAAACCATAGTAATTGTTATTTGAGACAGTACTACATTGTAATCATCTAAAACGACAACGCTCGATCTTGGTCGCTAACGATTAAATAAACAGATTATTATCTTATAAAGGTGCGTAAATATTACAGTAATATCAAATATATTTTAAATACTACAGTAATATCAAATATATTTTAAATACTACAGTGTCATCACCTTTAACGCCATCATCCGTTCTTGTGACAGTCTGTTATTATCTGTTTCTAGCTGTTTAAGTTGATGTTGATCTCGTTCACTGTTGACTACGCTATGATTTAATATCGTACATATACCAGTCCCTGGGTCATCTTTTAACATTAGAGTTATACATCCTAACTGAAACTATAGAACATATACCAGTCACTATAAACCTATACCAGTCACTATAGAACATATACCAGTCACTTTAAACATATACCAGTCACTATAAAACATATACCAGTCACTATAAACATATACCAGTCACTATAAAACATATACCAGTCACTATAGAACATATACCAGTCAGTATAAACATATACCAGTCACTATAAACATATATCAGTCACTATAAACATATACCAGTCGCTATAAACCTATACCAGTCACTATAACCCTGCTCTACCGTACTGAAACTATATTGTATATACATTATTAATATAATAAACTCCAGGAAGTCAAGAATTGTGGGAAATACCACTCCTCCTAATGCCTGCAACAAGATCTTAATATCTGTAAACTATTTAAATACAATTCGATCCCTGCATTGGCCGAGAAAGTTCATCCAGATTTTCCGGCGTGTTCCCCCCTTGTCAATGATTACAGGACGGAGGGCCTGACAAGGACAGCCGTCTAGTCGTTCGTATGGGACGAAAAACCGAGGTCCTGTATACACATTGGTGTGCACGTAAAATATCTCTTGACAGTTGGAATTCGATATAAGAGTAGGTCGTAGTGCCGATGTCCGGGCCAAATTTCCCTCATAGTACACTGTATGGCGTATGCCTGTCTTCATTAGCCCAGTTCGGAGCAGAACAGTAAGACGTTAAACCCCATTTCATTTCATTCCCTTGAGAGCGTCCACAAGATTTTTCAAAGTGATCAAGAGCATAACTCTGACAGTAATTATCGGAAATCGTTGAAAATAAATAGGATTCTTCATCTCATGACCATAAACACTGTGTAGGAATTACTTTAGCCTCTAGAAGGTCCACAAGTAAATATGGACGCTGGACGGACAGAGGTGACGACAATATTTGACCATATTTCAATCGGATATTAACATTAACCTTGAGAGCGTCCACAAGATTTTTCAGAGATCAAGGGGCATAACTCTGGCAATAATTATTTAAAATCTTTGAAAATCAATATAATTCTTCGTCTCATGACCATAAACACTGTGCATGAATTACTTTAGCCTCTCGAAGGTCTACAAGTAATTATGGACGCTGGACAGACGGAGGTGACGACAATATTTCAATGTGGGCGTATAAAAAGTGAACAAACAATTTACCTTAATATCATCTGAGGTGACATGTTTCTTCCACACCAATTCAGCTGTATCATCATTTTTAATTTTAACACTGTATTCAAAATTCACTTCATTATCATCTTTGATGAAGGCTTTTTCAGTTTGATTAAAATACGAGGTAAAATCCATTTTTAACCTTTTACGCTGTTTGTCCATATTATCAGCTGAAACTATAATAAAATGGAATTTATAGATACATTGTCACGAAAGTATTTATCCTGTGGTTATTTCCAATAAAAGCAGGGCAAATTTGGTTTATATGAAAGGTATAGACCCACAATCTTACTAGAAAAATACTGGATTACCCCAAAAATACCCATGGGGCAAGAACTGGGCAAAAATGTCAGGGTTTCACTAACTGGCAACCCGATTGTTGTCTGCCAGCTTATTGTGTGCTAGCTTGACTCCGGGAGCGGTTGTAATTTTTGATCAAATAGTTAGGTGGTGTTGGGAACATTGAGGGGTGTAATAAGGCCAAGAAGAGGGAGGGTCAGCTGGTATGTAGGATGGTTGTAATAAGACCTAGAAGAGGGATGGCCAGTCGGTAAATCGCTCAGGGGCGGAGGGTGCCCATAAATATATATTTAATTCTTTTTAACGTCGGCATGACCGGTACTCCTGCTGCTGAATAGGAAGTGGGGGTTAGTTGAACATAACTATTTTGTATACAAGTCCCTATATCCCCCATGTATACAAGTCCCTATATCCCCCATGTATAACTTACAAGTTCCTGTCCATGTTGATTGTCCATCCGTTAGTAACAAGTTAAAACCATCTTCTTTATCCACTGGTATCGTCGTTAACAGAAAAAACTGCTGACTTCCATCGGTTGTAATCTTTGAAAGAACCTTTTTACTCATGCTTTTATTTTACACTAAAACAGATTTTGTGGATATTTATCACAAAGCTAATATTAATGGAGTAGCTATCATGGATATTTATTAAAAAATTAAAATGAATAGGGTTGATATCAACGCGTGAGTTTGGGGGATTGATTGATGTCATGTCAGTAATCAGGCCTACTATGTCATTATTAGGTAGGCCTACATCGACCTGGCTAATATAGACCAAAGTTCTTTTCCGGGAACAAAATAGTATAACTGAAACCTTCATCTGTTGGCTTGAGACCAGAACAGGATACACTGGGCAAAACAGATAATGTGCATGGGCTAGTATACGTAAGGCCAGGGTTAGGGTTAGGTTTGGTGCTAGCGCTAGCCCTGTTTACATCTCGTGACCTTTGACCAAACTTGAAGTTGGCCTTATCAAATAGATCTAATGCATGTGCATGTTAACATGGTAAGAGTTATCTCCTCCTTTCTACCAAATTTCACCCAAACGAAATTACGTAGCTAATTAATTTTCACACTTTTTGATATTTAACAAAATTAACCTAATACTCATATAAAATTTAACTTAAAGAACAATTTTGATATCCACATGGAATGAAATTGATTAATATTTTTGGTTCACAAAAGGGTTTATTGTGGAGGTTTTATATTTGACAACAACCAACGTCATTCTACACTCACTGACTCAGGCCATTTAGTTAAATGGTTGTTTCCAGTCGATCTGACTCCAAATCTGACTGGAGAATATCAAAAGCTGGGTTGTGGGTAGGATCGTACCCTGGGAATATAAATGCCGATTTATTTGTGTCTGTACTTTGTGGCTGTACTTTGATACTGACATTGATAAAGAGCGAAGCTCCACAGCCCAGTGCTTGAGCAAATCTCTTTTCCAGTAACACTGGAGCGTAACTAAAACTGTCACCCACAGACTGTCGGTTAAAAAAAAATTCAGACCGGAACCGGACTGGGCAAACCTGGTAACGAGCATGTAAATTTACCAAATCTCACCCAAACGAGATTACGCATCTTATAGAAATATTTCTATGACACGTCTAATCAATGACGTCACATATTTTTGACATCAATGAAAATAATTCTCACAGTTACACTGTTTTGTTCTTTTTTTTTAAAACAAAATTAATTAATCATACAATTTAGATCTAAATTAAAATCAATTCGGAAGATAGGTTGCCACGCAACGAAACTAAGCACACAGCCGCTATATCGTCAGGGCAGTCAACAAGAGTTGTCGCATATTTTTACTCTTTTCGGTAATGAAACATCTATAATGTACATTAAAATCTGATTAAAAGTAACAACTCATTAAGTAATTATCAGAAAACCATTAGAATTTGTTTGGTTTTTATAAAGTTCTGCCCCATGCTAATGTTTTGTATCCAAAACTTTTAACATCATGGATTTAGTTGTTCAAGTCATAAAGATTCATTAAAAAATCAATATACTTGTTCATCTCAAGACCTTTTAAACTCTGTGTATCAATCTGAAGTCAATCGGATGATAACTTCAGCCTCTGGAGTGTCACAAGATTTTTCAAAGTGATCACGAGCCATAACTTTGGCAGTAATTGTAATAAATCGTTGAAAATCAATATGATTCTTCATCCCATATCCTCGAACACTGTGCATAAATTTAAAGTCAATCGGATATTAACTTTAGCCTCTAGAGCGTCCACAAGATTTTTCAAAGTGATCAAGGGCCATAACTTTGGCAGTAATTATCAGAAATCGCTGAAAATCAATAGGCTGCTTCATCTCATGACCTTAAACACTGTGTATAAATTTAAAGTCAATCAGATATTAACTTTAAGCTCTAGAGCGTCTACAAGATTTTTCAATGTGATCAAGGGCCATAACTCTGGCCATAATTATTAGAAATTGCTGAAAATCAATAAGCTTAGATTTGTCTCATGCTCATGCCCTTAAACATGACTGTGTATAAATTTAAAGTCAATCGGATATTAACTTTAGCCTCTAGAGCGTCCACAAGATTTTTCAAAGTGATCAAGGGCCATAACTCTTTCAAAAATTATCCGAAATCGCTAAAAATCAATAGGATATTTCGTCTCATGACCTTAAACACATCATCAGAGCCGCTCTACTTCAGGCAATGCCTGTTACTGTTAGGCCTACATATATTATAGCCTATATGTGGATCTTCCGGCATCCACATCAATGAGGCGGGTATCAAAATGGTATTTAAAGAATATATTATTGACACATATAAAAAGTCAATCTATAAAAAAAATAACCCGTTAGCCTCTGTAATTTAATTATTTTACTATATTTGTAAAGTTTGTTGTTTATTTACAAATTTACTCCACTTTTGACAGCCATATTGTAACAAAACGTCAGATTGGTGGATTTAAACGAAACGAAATATAAAAGTATACATCTGCCAGCTTGCAGTCTATTGAAAATAAAAATTTGCAAACTTTTTAGCAATACAAATTTTTTTTTATTCTGACATTTGTTTCAGTGAAATAATTTTTAAAAGGTATAATATTTCTGATATCATTCCGTAGCAGATTAGTTGATAAATTTTTGATTTAGGTTAAATTTAATACTGGTTAAGGAAGCCTAAGTAAATGGCTATGAATATAAATGACTCAAAGATCGCGTCTCTTCCATCCTGCAAAATTTGATTCTATTGTATGATATAAATAGATGATCCACTCAAAATAGATTTTATTAGCTTTCGGAAAAATCAACGCGTTGAACTTTCTCATGGTCTGAAGAAAATGGTTAGTAAATTTGTCAATTAAATATCATTGAATACGATTTAACAATGACACAAAACGCCCGATTGATAGAGCACACAAAATTAATTGGCGGAAAAACATGGGCGAAATAAGTTGATCCGACTTAGTTCACTTAACCGACTAATCATGAAAATGATAAATTGAAAGTAAGACTATCAGCCAGCTGCATTAGATTTGTCTTTTCATTACTGCAGCAATTGACGTTGTTGTGGTTTTATGGACTAAAATGTTTTTAAGTGTTTGTCGTACCTCTGCCACCGAATATAGACTAAAAAGATATAAAATGTGGTGTCTGATAAGAACTGTTATAAATTATAAACAAATTCTTCGATTGTAAACAAACTACTTATAATATTAAAAACTTGCCTGTGTTAGAAATCACCTCTGGTTAAAGATGGTAAGCCTCTAACTCAGTATCATCCACAGTCTTCGACATTGCAAACATGACTGCCTGTCAATTTAAATCAGCATTGATGTTGCTATCTTACCGTGAAAATATGGGCTTCTGATATCCAATATTTAAGACAAAATGAAAATTTTAAAAAATTGGCACACGAATCAATTGCCAGAATGCTTTCGAACGCCATTTGTAATGAATCGACGTGATCCACGAGGTTAAATATATCCTACATGAGAATACTACCTGTATAGACTGGAATAACCCAAGGTAAAAAGATGCACTGCCATTCAGTTTTGACTCTTCAAGTATTTCGCCGAACATACTGTGACTGATTAGAAATTACAGTAAAAACCAAAACGATTGGGGGGCGGGCTAGTGTTTTAAAGAGTGCGTGTAATCTCTGTCATTAGCCCTGTTTACACTTGGCCCCGATAACCTTGCGATAAGCGCGCCGTTCTCGTCACAGTACCAGGCCGTGATAAATTTCAAGAAATTGACCTGTTTACATTACTCTAAAATAACCAATCTCAGAGCCGTGCCAGGCACGCCAAATGTGGAACTCTTCACAGAAAAGTTAATTTCAGTCCCTATGCAAATTACCCAGAAGAAAACAATTATGGCGATTTATTTAGTTTGCACAGCTATTTAGACAGAACTGTCAAGTTTTGCAGGAATAAAGGTCAAGGTTCGTTTGGCGCATGCGCAGTAATCCGTACTGAAACCATGCTCATACTGGATAGCGTTTACACTACGAAAATTTAACCGTGCCGTGCCTGGCACCGTGCCGAGACCACCTCACTTCAGTGGGCCAGATTGTACAGCACGCTTAGGTTTGACCCGTTTACACTACAAAAAATTACCGTGCCTGGCACGCTTAAAATTTGTAATGTAAACGAGCTTATTGAGTCAATTTGTGTGGTTTCGAATCCCCGCTTGAATGTGACAAGGAGTAGGGTCGCTTGACCACCAGAGCTTGCCCACCCCACCCCTCTCTGGATGATATGTTGGTCTACTTACCATTTCTACATATCGTATATCCCCTAGCAGTGTATATCGTATATACCCTACGTATCTTTTATCTCCCAGCAGTGTATATCGTATATACCCTAGCAGTGTATATCGTATAGCAGTGTATATCGTATATACCCTAGCAGTGTATATACCCTACATATCGTATATCCCCTAGCTGTGTATATCGTATATACCCTACGTATCGTTTATCTCCCAGCAGTATATATCGTTTATCCCCTAGCAGAGTATATCCCCATGCTGTTTATATCCTACACATACCAAAAGTTTAGTCTACTAATGTATATTTAGTTGTTACTGGTGAAAGATCCCCAGCTTGTGTTGCAGGATAAAAATGTTTGGTAAGAACAACCGTCGAGTCGTTCAGATGGAACAATATGGTAGCACATAAAGATCATTTGAAATTTGACAGATACAAATCATAGCACCGCTGTCCTGGAACAATTTAACACATAGCACAGTGCATGATTATAACAATACCTGGACATACAGCACACCTGTCACAGACATTGTCACAAGTTATTATATGTTATTATATATATACCTGACAGGTATCCGTTACAGGTGTCACTAACAGGTGTACCTTAATAAAGTATTTGTATACAAGTGACTCAAAATATTCTACTAATCAGTGAATCTTTTCTTTTTTTTTCAGTCGGCCTTGTTTAATTTCCAGAGTTTATTAACGGTTTTATTATTATTGATATGTACCTGTACTTACCTGAGATCTATTATACCTAGTATAATTGATAGAAATAAAACAGGGTGAGTACTCTCAATAGATCTATTGTCAGTGATGTAAGACAGTGGGCAACGTATAGTTGTTCGGATGGGACCTTGGAGGTTTCATGTAGACACTGGCGTGCATGTAAGGGATGAGAAACCGAGATCCCATGTACACACTGGCGTGCATGTAAAAAAAAGAACCCTTGACAGTTGGAAAATCGAAATAAGAGTAGGCCGTAGTGCCGCTGTCCCAGCAAAATTGTCCTCATGGCACACAGTATATCATATACCTGGCTGTTTTTATTAACCCATTAGGAGTGGAACAATAAGACCCCATTTCCTCGGTAACTTTGCAATGTTTATAGGCGAGTTGGATGGCCGAATGTTTTCGATTCTTCGGTGTTGTACAAGGAGTAGGGTCGCCTGTCCAACCTTGTGGGTTTTCTGCGGGTCCTCCGGTTTCCTTCCACTGCTAAAGACCCCTATGCGCAAGCGAATTATTGAAATAAAATTGAACTATATGTTGGTCCCGAAATGACCTAGTTTATGTGAGTGGACCTTAAACACCATTTCTCTCTCTTGCAAATTTAATAATATTTTTTTTGTTTGTTTATAAGTGTTTACTGTAATTTTTACATGAATGCTTTAAAATCATTGTAGGCATCATCTAATTCTTATTTCAGCTTCCTAGGAATATTTTGGAAATTTGCAAGAATAGGTAAGTCTCTATATTGAAATCTACATGCCCATTGTCATCACCCTGATCAACACGTCCATATGTCTATTTTCTCAGGTCATCCTCAACCCATCCATGGTCTACATCTCTCTCTCTCTCTCTCTCTCTATTGCTGTCACCCTCAACCCATCCATCGTCTACATCTCCCTCCCTCTCTCTCTCTCTCTATTGCTGTCACCCTCAACCCATCCATCGTCTACATCTCCCTCTCTCTCTCTCTATCTCTCTCTATTGCTGTCACCCTCAACCCATCCATGGTCTACATCCCTCCCTCTCTCTCTCTCTATCTCTCTCTATTGCTGTCACCCTCAACCCATCCATGGTCCACATCCCTCCCTCTCTCTCTCTCTATCTCTCTCTATTGCTGTCACCCTCAACCCATCCATGGTCTACATCCCTCCCTCTCTCTCTCTCTATCTCTCTCTATTGCTGTCACCCTCAACCCATCCATGGTCTACATCCCTCCCTCTCTCTCTCTATTGCTGTCACCCTCAACCCATCCATGGTCTACATCTCTCTCTCTCTCTCTATCTCTCTCTATTGCTGTCACCCTCAACCCATCCATGGTCCACATCCCTCCCTCTCTCTCTCTATCTCTCTCTATTGCTGTCACCCTCAACC